ATCTAACGTGCCTGTGTCAGCTGCCCTGGACAGAGCCTCCCCAAACAGTATTTTCACTTTCAGAGCGGTAACGTGCAAGCTCAGATTGTCCGCATCAAGAAGTTCTCGAGCTGCTCGTTTGCGGATGCTGCAGTCGTGGGTCGCTGGTCGGAACACTAAGTGTAACAATGCGTATGGGTAGGACGTCACTCGCCGCATAATGCGTCTGTTGTATTCCGCTCGCATCTTCAGCACTAAACGTTTGATTCTACTCCACATGAAATCTCTCAAGTCAGTTGGCACCAGCTGAAGCACGTATTCCCAAGTCGAACGTGATAGAAATCCTCCTCTCAGCGTAGCAATGCACATCATGGCGCAGCGGCAGCCAGCAGCGCAGCGGGAGGGAGAACAGCAATGAGCAGAGGAGGAGCAGGAGGAGGAGGGGGAGGAGGAGGAGGGTAACAACACTCTGGCAGTGCTGCCAACATGTTTCTACTTCAAATGAACCATGTTGGGAAGGAGGAGAAGGATGAGATAACATGATGGCAGCAAACATGGTATGCCAAGGTGCTCTGCTCATACTGCAAGACCCATCATGATTGCAGAACTCCCCAGCCCCAGGCGTCCCCACCGTCAAGCTTGCCCATGATAGCAGCTGCTGTGCCCCATACGAATCTTGCAAGACTTGATGGTGTGTTTGCCCCCCGATACTTCATGAGAGAATACAGCGCTGCGTCGTATGGCCCTTTTGCCGCCTTGGACACTTTCAATACTGCAAAGAAAAGATCGTCTTTTACACCTTCTGCTGCGTCGGTTGCCCACTTGTTTTGCTTAGTTGCGAACGCTGCCATGTCGTCGTGTCCCATCTCGTCGATGTCTGCCTTGCTCGCACCGTTGCCCTCCTCCCTCTTCATTTTCGCGGTCACCCTCTCACCAGTTTTTTCAGCATCATCTTTTTTTTTGCACATCAGGGTAAGCAGGATTGGTCGCAGCACTCTCAACGGGCAGCGGTCAATGTGGGCCTCGCACTTCGAGGTGTTTCCCCATCTTCCGACTAATGGTTTTGGTGGGACCGAGTGTGCGAAGGTCATGGCGCTCGAGGGGTCCACGTGCTTAGCCCACATGCTGAAGACGGTACGAGCATGCTCTCTCCATAAGTGCATAATCTTGGCCAGGGTGGCGTAATACCTTCTCTGGGCAGGTCCCTCTCCAACAATTTCAGCCCCCCCTTCCAAAAAATTGCAGCCCCCCAAACAAAAAGAAACCTTAACTATTTTGAAGCAGGAGGGGGTTATTGCTTCAGCTCCGCAGAGCGCCTCAATTTCGTCGGAGCCTTCTCCTTTCGAAGGGCAGCTCTCTTCTTCCGCAGGTCCTACGTGGAGGACCTCCTAGGTGGAGGACTTCCAGTGAGGAGGAGGAGGAGAAGGGAGAAGAGGAGGAGGAGGACGAGGAGGAGGAATAAGATGAGGAATAGTAGGAGAAAGCAGAGAAACGGACTACTCGGCCCTCGGTATCTCCTGCAGCATGAAGTCACATTCTTCTAGCGAGTTGCGAACCATGATGTGAAGCTGGTGCATCATGCAATCCCCGTCGAACACCCAGCACCAAGGATTCCCAAGAGTCTCCGAATGGATCAGTGCCCGTGACCCGACCTCGTCACCACCTGCATCTGAAGTAATCATCCAAACTTCGATGTGACGATTCCCCAAACACGTGGCCCCCTCGCGCTCCCACTGGCACGCTAGAACGTCAGTGCACGAGTCTGCAGCACCACTTGGCACAATGGCTGCAGGACCATCCGCAACGACAGGCACAGGTGCATCCGAATGATCAGCAATCAGCAATGGTGTGGCTGTCCCCTCTCTAGAGTCGTCGCAGAGGGCAGCGAGAGAGGGGCGATGATCGACAACTCGAGTATACCAATTCGTCGCATATGTGCTGGCGAGTTGTTTTTTGATCATACCGTACGTGCCGAGAATGTTGCTTTGTTTCGCCACTTGAAGGTCACCCATGCATTTTCTGAAACTCATATTCCTCAGCACGTGCTCCCAATTGTCATGCTCGTGGATGGCCTGCGATGACATTTGGAATCCTCCCCCCCCTCCTACTTCCCTCCCAGGTGCCCAGGTGGACTGCGACGCGCGGTTATCTTCGTGCCCCCCGCGGTCCCCTGGAAAAGGGGACCTCTTCAGCCAATACCGCGATGCGCGAAGCGCGATTACCTTCGCACCCCAAGGGACTGGACGTTTAGATTGCCCTCGTCGAGCCTCCCTGGTGTAGCCCACTCCGACTTCCATCGTATGGAGTTTCGATCGTTGCCAAATGAAGGCGTTCGTGGCGTCACCACGAAGAACATGTAACGATACCGTAGTAGAGCAAGTCTCTGCACGAACACCAGCACCAACATGGTACTCCCGAAGATCTTCAATCATGCGGTGATGCCACGCTTTATTCGCTGCTACCATGGCAGCCCTCAATTTGATCTCCCAGTCAGCCACCGTTGGCCCTGAAATATTCATCTCGCATGCCAGCCCCAAACATGCTGCAGGGGCGTTGGAGATGATTCGTCTCATCGCAATCCTCATGCCACCCCTGTCTGTCAGATATCGCCCTTGGGGCCCTCGCCGAAACTCGGCATCTTGCTGTGCTTGTTTCAGTGCTCGCATCTCTTCTTTAAGTTCATCGATCGCGGCATCCCTCCTGGCAATTTTCCTATGCGTTGATTTCTTGTATGACTTGAAGCGTTTGCGAAGCTGCTGAACTGATTCTGCTTTCACATCGATATCTTCGAAATCGTCACCGTCGCCGTCACCGTCGACTTCGACGAGCATATCCTGCGAAGACTGCCTGCCCGTTTCAAGAGAAGCATCCGAGAAGCAAAATGATTGTTGCGGCGATACTGTCGCAGTAACCGTAGAACTGCAATCCAGAGACGAAGGCAGAGACGACGGCGTAAGCACCTCCCCTTCCAACTTCGAAGGCCGAATGAAATTAAACGCAACAACAATAATCATTGAAGCAGCTCCAGTATGCTGAACCAAACGCGCCGTTCACTACTTGCTGCTCTCTAGTCCCCAAGTGCACTAGCCCTTGCACCCCCTCCTGCCCCCACCTGATTCAGACCATGCATCTCTTTGCACTCATCCCACGAAACCACAGGTCCCATGTAAGCGACGAGGCTCTTGAACGTGCCCCAGTCCACGTCCTGGAGCTGTCGGCGCCGGGCAGCTCTAGCCCCCTTGACCACGTTGGCCTTCGAGACCTGGCAAACCTGGGCAACCTCAGACAAAGCCCTGCAAAGAGACTCCATAGAGTGGAAGCGCACGTTTCCATTCTCAATGTGAGCATTGCTGCCAACCGCAAATGCTAGTGCTCTGGTACTCGTATCAAGACAATGGCGAAAACGCAAAAGCTAAAATTGCTGAGCAGAATAGCAGCAGACGCCTCCCTCGACGAAAAAAAGGAGGAGGCGGAGGCGGAGGAGGAGGCGGAGGAGGAGGAGGGACGGCGGGAACAGCAGCGACTGGGGATAGATGAGGAGGCGTGTAGAGAAAGCGCACGACAGGAGGTGAGTGACTCTTGGCGTTTCTTGGGGCCCCTTTCTTACTTCCGCCGCCTTCCGCCAGTGAAGATTGATCAACTCCTGAGTCCCTCGAAGGTAGTGACGCTGTGTTGCGCGTGTGCCGTATGATGTTGCTGTTGTTGTGTGTGTGTGCACGTGCATTTTGAAGAGAATACGAGCCGAGATGTTCTGTTACGCGTTAGCACCTTGGGGGTGCGATTCAATATAGAAACGGCTATGCAGTTGTGATACAAATAGTGAATTAGTGTGTGCGAAAGCTTGCGGTTACATTGAGTGTGTGCGTGTGCTAGTTTGCGAAAATTGTTGGCGCGCTGCCTACTTTAACGTGTTGTTTCGTTTGAAGTCGCATGCGTTGGCCTCCCCCCCGAAGGGTCGTGCTCAGGCGCCAACAGACGCCAACGGTGGGTGTCAGGACCTCGGTGGGTGAGGTCCTGACACCCACCGTCTGTCTCGAGTGTCCTTAAGGTGGTCGGGACACAGGGCGGGGGGGGGCCACCCAGAAGGCCTGGACCTTGATCCCCAGCTGCTGGCCACTCTTTGCGCCGCGCCCCTCGCGTCCCAGAGATGCCCCTGGAAGGCGTCGCTGTTCCAGCGTTCCCACCGCTGCGCCAGCGCCGCGCCCTTGCGCGCTGCGCGCAGGGCTGGCGCGCCGCCGATCCGCAGGCCATGGGGGCCCAGGTCGTTTGGGTCGACTCCCTCTGCCACGCGCCGCCGCCTGCATCGCCATCCGCTGGACACCCGCCCAGGTCGTCAGCCGGTCGTCGTCGCGCGCGAACGCCGGGCCGCGCATCCGGAAGCGCGAGAACCGCCCCCTCGCCCATCCATCGTAGAAAGTCAGGGCCTCCATGACGCAGACGTGGGTCTCCGCCTCCGCCGCTGCCGTCTCCTCGGCCTTCAAGTGGTTGCGCCACTCCCCGCGGTTGTACTGGTCGGTCTTGCTGGCCCAGATCTTGATGACCACCTCGTCCGCCGCTGGCCAGCTGCTGCGCGGCCCGCCCGCTGCCTTCGGCGCGGCGTCCACCCCGCGCAAGCCGTTGTTGCCCGCGCGGCCGTTCTGGTCGCTCGACGCGCACTCGCTGGCCCGCAGCAGGAAGAAGTAGCCCATGGCGACCACCGCCCATAATTCCGCTCCTTCTCGCGACATCTCTGACTGCAGCATCTCATTGATCCACCGCGTCTATTGTGGGCGCAAGTAACCGCATCATCGTCTCCATATCCCGGGTGGTCCTAGACCGCGCTGTGGCCCCGCGGATTTCGACATCGCGGCGCGGCTTTAAGCGAGGGCGGCACAGGCTCCGCAACAATCTGGATAATTATGCTGCGGCGCAGGAGATTTCTCTCATGCCCAAAAAGGGCGCGATCCCCCCGTTCGATTTCCGCGCTGCTTTTCCCAGCATGGACCACGCATTTTTGCGGGGGAGTGCTGGCCGTAGTTGGTATGCCGGCGGAGTTCGTTAACATGCTTGCGATGGTTTACAGTAACAACAGGCACGCGATCAAACTACAGTCGCAGTTCTTCGACAGCATCACCGTCAGAAGCGGAATTCGACAGGGGTACCCGTTTTCACCGCTACTTTTCGCCATCTGTGCTGACGCTCCATTGCGCGAGTTGGCGCAGAACTCATTGGGGCATGAAGCGGCGACGGCATTTGCCGACGACACAGCGGCAGCAGTTCGTGATTATGTCACCTCGTTGCCCGTCGTGGCCAAGTTATACGCAGAATTTGAGGCGATGTCCTGCCTTGCGCTGAACATCAAGAAAACGGTGTTCATCCCGCTGCAGAAGTTCGTCTCGGAGTCCAGTGTCAGAACACTCATCCGGGAAGCGGTTCCCGCTTGGCGCGCCATCGTTGCGAGTTCTGCGGGCAATTACTTGGGATTCTGGATTGGACCCGGTGCCGGCGACAAGATTTGGGAGAAACCAGTCAAAACAAATTGTGAGTTGCGCGCAGTGTCGGGCCCCTCGCCACCTCGGCCTTTGTGTGGCGATGCTTGTGCTCAATACTTTAATATGCTCTGCGACGTCCTTTGCCATGCAGATGGAGGGCGTTTCGGCCAACCTGGATGGGGCCACCCCGCGGGCGTTGCGACGCCGCGCCCCCGGCCCGGGCTTTCGGATTTTGCCCGAGGACCCATGCAGCTCGAAGGAAACATCCGGATCCAAGTACTCGTTCACAAATATACAGTGCGTGGTTTTAGCGGTGAATTAAGTTGCGCGCGATAGAGCAGGCGGCGCCGGACTGCCGCGAACGGCGCCAATAATTAGAACAACACGATGGCAGATGCTTGATTGGGCCGCTTGGCACGCGGCACGATTTCTCTGACTTCGCGCGTTTGGTTCGGGCTGAACGCGCGGCTGCGCGCTCCGGAGTGACTCGCTGCAAAATATGCGCGTTGGCAGATAGGGTAGCGCAGGGGCGAAGACCAACCTTCCAAGCGATAGCCAGTGAGTCGCTCAAGGAGGCCGTCTTCCCAGTGCCCGTGCACCGTTTCCCGCGCAAGCTGCCCAGGTGGCTTCCTGCTCCCTGTCGACGTGCTGGCTGGCCGGGTTTCGCGGGCATTCCACGTCGTGCACTCGTGGTGCCCGCCGAGGGCTGCGTCCGAAAATTCGCATGCGATTTACAACGGATGGGCGACCGGCCGCAGGATGCGACATGTTGCGACTACGTCGGCAGGGGTGGTCTCGACCTCGCATTGCCTGCTGGATTGCCAGGGTGGGTGCGACAGCGTGGAACATTATTCCGTTTGTCCTGTGGTCTGGGGTTTACTGAAAGCAAACAAGCTTGCTGGCCTTGGAGTGGACCGGCAACCTGCAATTCTTATGTTCTTTCTTCTGGACGAGAGCTGCCCCGACGAGGGCGTCGCCAGACTGGCAATGGCAATTTACGGAATGTATCGCGCCATGAGTCACATTCGCTTCCAAGGGGCGCTGGCTGCAAGTTCAACGCGGAAGCTTTCGAAGCGCTGGATCCAGCGAGGAGCTGGGAATTCTAAG